TTCGATTTTCAGGTCCCGTTCCGAATAGAAAGAGAAGTAGGTGGACGTCAGTTGAGAGGATATTGTATTCTGCGTAGAATACTTGGAGAACCAGTTGGAACAAGTTGGCAGCCGGACGAGTGCCCGTTTAGGGCCGCGACAGCAGTGGCCCGAGTGAGCGTAGGCAGCTGTCGCATCGCCTTGTGCGAGAGCACACTTAAGTTGGCCTTGAAGATGATTGGTCAGGTTGGACAGTCGTGCTGGGCCAAAAACTAGAGTGACACTAGTTTGCACGTGCAGGTACTCGTAAGAGGCGTAGCGTTGCGCATGGCATCCGAACTGGGTCCGCCTCACGATCTACATTTAGCATATCAAACAACTGGCGGACGTTGATTTCATTAGCATCAGGCCAACAACTGATTTTTCCAACTGAGAAGCGCGAATATGGTAAAATGGTTGTTTCTGGCCTTGAAATTAATTCTCAACTTTGGGAAGATTAGTAGGTTCGAGGGTCTATAGGCGCAGACCGACATTTACTATGAATATTACGGCCGAAGTTCATCATTCACTGGGGGATAAACGCGTAATATTCAGAAGCTGTCAACTCGCAGTCAGTAGTATAATGTATGTACTTCTTCATCATACTGGCAACACAGGTGCCGGCTAAAAAGCACAGACGCGTGCCTCTCGAGTATCCTACCGCTGCTTGGCACAATTGAGAGGCGTCCGGCTCATCAGTGGGTCCCCCAGCATCTCGTGTGTGTTTTCCGATGGATACGCGGTTTTGAACTTTGCGCTTTTTAATTGCCTTAGAAATTAATTTTTGAACTTGCTGCAGATCAGTATATTCAAAGTCTATAGATACAAACCGAAATTTGTTGTAAATATTTGGCCCGAAGTCCATCAGCCACTGCGGGATAACGGCGTAGTATTTACAAGCTGCCCGTCGTCGGCATTTCCTGTCTGCTTTCTGGTAAATACTCTGCAGCGGCTGACTATCAGCGAAACACATGTCCGGGCCCGTGGCCATTACCTGTGCTGCTTTTACGGCAAAAAGTTACCCAC